TGAATGTGATTCAACACCTTGCTCCTGTGCTACAGAATCAACACGTGTTGATTCACACAGACATCATGATGACTGCTGCATACATAATCATCAGGGTGTGCGTTCAGCCAGATGTTACACATTGTGCGAAAGCTACTGAGTTGGGTTCATCAAAACCTGCTTTTATTAGAGCGGTTTACATATCCGGTGTTCTGATGTGACGTCCAAGGGCGGCCCACGTTACGTGGACCGGATCCTCCATCCGGATCTGATGTTTTCAGACGCAGCAGAAGTTGGCAAAGCAGCTGTGGACCTGTTTGCGATGCGAGAAGAACGCTCAATGTCAACTACGGTTTTCCCTGAGCCCGCGAGACGATCCATCGCTGGGGGGGGGACGCATTTGCTCACAGTCGGTGGCCCAAAACGCTTTTTACGCGTTTCTTTCCCCCCACCTCCTCTGTTTTTTACGGTCCATGAACCGAGTTCAAGAGGAGGGATTGACAGCTCTCCTGGTGGCTCCCGGCGTGTGAACGCACTATGGTTCCCAGGCCTGCAACGTCTGTTGTTGGGTCGCCGTGGAACTGTCATGGAGGAAGGATGCTCTCCTTCAGGCAGGAGGAGCGACCAAGAGTTACCCAGAAATAGGTCAACACCGGTGGGTCTGACCGCTGAGCGGTTCCACTTAGAGGATGGGTCTCCCTCAGGAGATAGTGTGCACAATTCAAGATTCACGTGCTGCATCTACCACAGTTCTGTACACATCAAGGGTACGGCTTTTCAGCGCTGGTGTACAGAGAAGGTTTAGAGACCACTTCATGCCTTTTAGGCGGCGTGTTGTTTTTCTACAACACCTGATGGATAGGGAGTTGGCTTTCAGTACGCTTTAACGTACGTTGCAGCCATCTCTTCCTGCCACAAAGGGTTTGGAGACAGAACAGCTTTTATCACCCGCTGATGAAGCGGTTTCTAAAAGGTGTACAGAGATGTAGGCCTGTTTTCACGCCCACTTGTTCCACAGTGGGTTTAACGCTGGTCCTGCGAGCCCTGATCAAAGCTTCAATTGAGCCTCTGGATCAGGTTTCATTTAAATTCTTGTCTCTTTTAACAGCCCTGTTGCTGGTTTTAACACCCGCTAAGAGGATAAGTAATTATCTGCCCTCTCTGTTGCTTCGTCATGCCTTAGAATTAGGCTGACGGGCAGCTCAGCTGATTTAAGACCAACCCAGCTTTTATGCCTAAAACATCACGAGCTCTTTTAAATCAAGAGTGATATCGTTGGAGGGGTTTTTTTCCCCCCCACAGATCAGAAGGGGAAGCATCTGTTCATCTTCTCTGCCCGGTGCAGGCGTTGACGTGTTACGTAACGCGCACAGCTGCAATGCGTTCAAATTCAACAATTGTTTGTGCATTATAGAGATGCTTCTGCAGGTCGCCGTTATCCATCCAGCGCTTGTCACACTGGCTGTGTGAGGCCTTTTCTGAAGCCTACAGAGCATCAGATTTAGGGCCTCCTGTCAACCTCTAAGCACATTCGACCAGGGGTATCGCATCTTCGACTGCTCTGCATAATGGTATGTCAATGCAGGACATTTGCACTGCGGCTGCATGGTCAACACCCTGCTCATTTATTCGCTTTTACCTATGTGATGTAACGGCTCGTTCCATGACACATTCTGTCCTTAGTGCTCTAACAGAATGAATATTGTTGTTCTCATGGAACTCTGTTTAAGCTCACTTCTGTCTGCATGCATTACAGTGTGAGATGTTGTTATCAGTCACAGTTGTGTCTGTGTTTCTGGTTCTATTGTCACTAATCAGTTCATGATTATTGTTACCAATCAGTTCATTTGATTATTTATCAATTCATGGACATTAATCTGTTTATACTGTTCAGCCATGAACCAGTTGGTTCATGCCCCCCTCCCCCCCTCTTTTCAACTTCCTCTTCCCGTTGAAAGTTTTTCCGGGGTATTCATGCTTGTCAGAACGCATAGTTACACAACATGCGTCTGTGCATGGCACATAATTACGCGATGCGTAGTTTATGCACACGGGGAGCTGAGTGACAAGACGTTTTTTGGGCAAGCTTCCGCTTCTTACTGTGTTCGAATGGACCCAGTGAGGCGAGGACCACATCGGCTTCGCCCTTTACCCACTAAAGCGAAGGCCTTAAAGGGCGAAGCTTATACGACATAGAACGTTGGTTACGTACTGTAACCCCAGATTCTATGAGTATAAGCGTAGCCCTTTAAGCGTCGGGCCTCACTGGCTCCTAAATGGCTGAAGAAAAAGCTATTTTGGGAGCCGATTTCCCGCTCTTAACGTAATTTATACGGACCGGGTGGGGCCCACACAGCAGGTGGGCGTGGACTAATTTTTTCAGTGCTTATGCTCTGCATAACGGGATAAACCCACTAAAGCGAAGGCCTTAAAGGGCTACGCTTATACTCATAGAATCTGGGGTTACAGTACGTAACCAACGATTTCATTTTTCAGCACGACCTGGCACCTGCTCACAGTGACAAAACCACTGGTAAATGGTTTACTGACCATGGTATTACTGTGCTCAATTGGCCTGCCAACTCTCCTGACCTGAACCCCATAGAGAACCTGTGGGATATTGTGAAGAGAAAGTTGAGAGACACAAGACCCAACACTCTGGATGAGCTTAAGGCCGCTATCGAAGCATCCTGGGCCTCCATAACACCTCAGCAGTGCCACAGGCTGATTGCCTCCATGCCACGCCGCATTGAAGCAGTCATTCATGCAAAAGGATTCCCGACCAAGTATTGAGTGCATAACTGAACATGATTATTTGAAGGTTGGCGTTTTTTGTATTAAAAACACTTGTCTTTCATTGGTGGGATGAAATATGCTAATTTTTTGGGACAGGCATTTTGGGTTTTCATGAGCTGTATGCCATAATCATCAGTATTAAAACAATTAAAGACCTGAAATATTTCAGTTGGTGTGCAATGAATCTGAAATATATGAAAGTTTCATTTTTAGCATTACATTATGGAAAATAATGACCTTTATCACAATATGCTAATTTTTTGAGAAGGACCTGTATATATTTTTAGCTTTGGCACTGTGTGCAGGGGCCAAGTCCTGTTGGAAAAGGAAATCTGCATCTCCATAAAGTTGATCAGCAGCAGGAACAACTGGGAGCTGCTGATTAAAATTGCAAAAGCTCAAATAATATCTCAATTATAACCCCAAATGCCAAATGAGTTGAAAAGGAGGTGCTACGGATGCATTACCATCTCCCTGGAGGTGGTGCTCGAGTGCCTGACCACCAAGATCTTGGAGGTAGCGGGAAACATGGCTCGTGACAGCGGGAGGACTGAGATCATCCCTCGGCACCTGCAGTTAAGTCCGTGGCGACGAGGGACTCGGCAGGCTGCTGGGAGAAATGGCCATCGCTCGGGGAAGAGTTCTGCCCAGCATTCAGGCAGTCTTGCTGCCCAAGAGGACCAAGAGGTCTGCTGGGTCTGGGTGGATGTATCAACATCTGCATCCAGTTTCTTCGTATCCGCTGTGGGACAGACCGCTACAAGAGATCCTTCCTGCCTAAAGCCATCAGTATCTAGAACAACTCTAATGAAACTAAGATGATGAGCTACAACAACAATTAATTTCCCTTTGGGATTATTGAAGTATTTTTGAATTGAATTGAATTTGAAGCATGAAGTCTCTAAAACTTCCTGGTAGACGGCTGCGTTGACCTAGGACCTCAGAAAACACTGTGGACCAACACCAGCAGATGACATGGCCCCCCCCAAAGCATCACTGACTGGAAACTTGACACTGGACCTCAAGCAACATGTATTCTGTGCCTCTCCTCTTCCTCCAGACTCTGGGACCTTGATTTCCAAAGGAAATGCAAAATTTACCTTCATCAGAGAACACAACTTTGGACCACTCGGCAGCAGTCCCAGGCGAGACGCTTCTGACGCTGTCGCTTGTTCAAGAGTGGCTTGACACAAGGAATGCGACAGCTGAAACCCTCGTCTTGCATACGTCTGAGCGTGGTGGTTCTTGAAGCACAGACTCCAGCTGCACCACCCTTTGTGAATGTCTAACACATTTTGGAATGGGTTTTGTTTCACCATCCTCTGCAGGGTGCGGTTATCCCTGTTGCTTGTAAACTTTTTCCCACATTATTTCCTTCCCTTCACCTCTCTATTAATGTGCTTGGACACAGAGCTCTGTGAACAGCCAGCCTCTTTAGCGATGACCTTTTGTGTCTTGCCCTCCTTGTGCAAAGTGCCAGTGGTCTTATTTTGGACAACTGTCAAGTCAGCAGTCTTCCCCATGATTGTGTAGCCAACAGAACTAGATTGAGACCATTTAAAGGCCTTTGCAGGTGTTGATTAGAGTGTGGCACCAGGTGGCTTCAATATTGAACCTTTCACAATGTTCTAATTTTCTGAGATACTGAATTTGGGGTTTTCATTAGTTGTCAGTTCTGATCATCAACATAAAAAAAAAATAAACATTTGAAATATGTCTGTATGTAATGAATGGATATAATATACAAGTTTCACTTTTTGAATGAAATAAATCAACTTTCACATGATATTCTAATTTTATGACCAGCACCTGTAGAAGTCTGTCTCTCCTGTTCTTATTCATCTGGGCATTGTCTCATGAAGACTCCATGTTCTGCACCACATCCTGGTTTTGTCTCCCTTAGTGTCCTCTCGTGGTTCATGTAAACTGCTGTCATGTCAGCCCTTTTGTTGATATTCATTAAATAACTTTTACTTTTAACCCGAGTCCTCCCTTCATTTTGGGTTCAAACCACCACCAGATCGTTACACCGCTGAATTAAACTGCTTAATAAATTTAACACGTAGGGGACACAGAACATTTTAAAATGTTTAAATTGTGCATTTGTTTTTTTTTTTTCCCCTTTTACAGTTCATTACACTAGGATGAAAATATATTTGCGTTTAATTAAAGTTTAGTAACATTCTCTTAAGCAGTAACACTTAAAAAAGAGACAAACAACGAACTCTTTGTTCACTTTGCTGGAAAACTCAAGATTTGTACCAGAGGCTTTTATTAACCAGGACCGAAGAGCTCGTAGGAGCCGACGACAACGCTCTGAAGTCTGAATGGAAACAAAGAAAATAAAACCAAACCAGAAACACAAATTACATTCAGGAGTTGAATGAAATGATGGGATGACTTCAAAACATCTCCTCGGTGAAACAAAAAGGGATTGGAGAAGTGTAGGAAATGACACCAGCTGGATGAAGACAGGACGGCTGAGAGTTCTGGATTAATCCGAGTCTCATGGGCAGTGCTGCTGTTGGAGAAACTGTTCAAACCAGGCACGTTGTTTGTAGAAAAAATAGGTAAAACTAAAAGCTTACAAGTTGTCAGTTTCATCTATTCATCAGTGTCTTTTCGTTTTGGGCTTTTAATGTTTGATTTGAACCGTTATTTTTTTTTTCCAGGGTTGATTGATTAAACAAGACATCAATGGATGGATGTTCTTTAATCCATGCAGGGTCAAATAAACCCATATTCATCTAATTTATTAATTAGTGGCACTGAAGGTCCTAGAAGGCGTTATAATTTAAACAATTGTTAAATCGTTAGTGGTATGATCAACTCCAGCTGGTAGATTTGTTTGCAAGCACTCAACGCTCCTCTGTCCCTCTCGGATAACCACCTAGGTTGACGTCTACCATGAACTGGAAGCTACTGGAACGCCAGTGTCCCTGTCCACGGCGAAGACAGATTTACATCTGCACGGACTGCAAAGACACAGAAAGCAGCTTCGACTCCAAAAGTCCACGCGGACAAGACAAACACCTTCCGGAGAAAATTTTAACCTTAGATGAGACACAGATTGAGACGTTTGGCCGACATGACAAGAAGAATGTTTGGAGGAATCAAATTTTAGAACAACATGCTAACTGTCAAACATGGTGGTGGTAGCATCATGCTGTGGTAATAATAGAGGATGACCTTCAAATTATCCAGCTTCACTTTGAATCAACAGCTGGATGGTTGAAACTTGGACACAACGGAAGAATACCAAACACACATCAGAGCTGCTTTCTGATTGGATAAAGCTTCAGAGCTGGTTTCTGATTGGATAAAGCTTCAGAGCTGGTTTCTGATTGGATAAAGCTTCAGAGCTGGTTTCTGATTGGATAAAGCAGACTAATGTAATGCTTGTGCAATAATTTTTCAAAGTCCAATTAGAAGTTTGTAAACCAACCAATATAAATGAACTCTACCAATTCTGCCAAGAAGAAGAGCGGTCAAACATCAGCCAAAGTCCAACCAGAAGCTCGATGGAGACCAAAAGCCTGAGGTCCAGGTGAGAGACATGTTATCAAACATTACTAGGGGTGTATGATGATATTTGACCCTCTATGGACTGGAGAAATGCCCCAATAAGTTCAATTTGTGCACCCAGTTCTTGATTTTAAAAACAATTACAGTTATGTGGCGTTTAATTATCTGATCTTAAGAAATAACGGTTCAAATAAACCCGTTAATAGCTCAAAGTTAACATGAAATTCAAACTTCTGACTACAGCTGTGATAACACGGGGGAAGAAGTAAAAGGCGTGTAAAAGTGTGTAAAGAGGAATAAAAACCATCCAGACCCAACAGCTTTGAAACCTGGAACATTTTATGTTTTTCTTTCTCAAAATAACTCAGTAATACTCGTACAAAGTACCAATGGAAAGGCTGCGAGTTGGAGACAGAAAACGCCCGCAGTTTTAAAAATAAAGACCCACATTTTGGTCTCGGCAGGTGGAGATCTTATTAACAGTGCACCAGGCAAAGACAAAATGTGCAACACCAAGTCCAGCTTTGATTTATGAGGGAAAAATATGTTTGCACCTTTTTAAACAGGGGACCGGAACACTCCCCCCCATCATCAAAGACAGTTTAAAGCTGTTGTACAAAATCACTGCGAGGTTAGTTCAGGAGTGAAGCATCGGCCTCATCGATGCTCAGAAAGCTCACTTCATGCCAACACCGCCAGATTATTTAATCTGACCCAGAATGATGGCTTTTCCTTTTCAATAACGTGCAGAGAAAATATGCTTTGAAACTGTCAGACAAAACGTACATAAAGCAGATTTAAGATTAAATAAATAATTCTTGGAATAATTATTTTTAATTAGTGGTGGCTCACAGTTTATATCTCTGGCTTTTATTTATTTTAATCATCTTTAATTAATTATTTAAAATAAACTTCTTCGCTCGTTATTTTCGCTCTCCTTTTCAGGATTTAAACCCACAAACTTTCCTTCACCAAAGCCGACATTAAATTTCGACGTGGTTTCCCCGTTGGCACCGAACAGATGCTGCTCTATTTAATCTGCTCATTTCATAATTGGGCAATTTATTTTTTTTTTTTTAATTTAGGACTTGAGACTGATTACGGGTGACAATTTATTTTTTGGCAAAGAAGCAGAAGTGCCCTGGTAGTTTTATCAAAAACGCACTGAGGGGTGAAACGCACAACGTACGTTGTAAAATATATTAATTGTGCTTATAAAGAAAGATCAGAACAGAAGCTGCTCGTTAAACGTCGTGACTTTAGTGTGAGAGGTCCTGCGAGGTGCGATTCACATAAAGACTGCCGGTTATGATCAGCTCAAGAAAATATAGTTTTAAACTCCACAGGGAAATGGCAGTTTGGTAAATAAATACCTAAAACAGAGATTATACATTTATTATTTCTCTTTCTTTGGCCGGTCGGATGAAGAAAACAGGACGTCAAACTGTCAAACGCTGCGATCGTCTGTAAATATCGTAAATTATGATTTTCGTCTACGCAAACCAAGAAGGGGCTAATTTGTTTAACGGTTTGCCTGAACGTGGACGCCGCTCACCGATCCGATTTGTTTGAGCTGCAGAGAACCGAACACCAGAGGAGGTGAGGTTCCGTCCCGCCTTAAAGAAAACTAATCCGAGGCGGCTTTTGAAGTTTTGACTCGTAGGACAGATTAGACCCAAAGGAAGAGCTAATATAATCCAGAAAAAAAACAGATATACAACTGCATACTTTTACAAAACAGGTCAGAACCTCAGACCCCCACCTCCAAAAGAAGCGTCATCTTTATTTTATCTGATATTTATTGTTTCATACTCTGCTTTTCAAACACTAATTTTAAAAACAAGAACTTTTACCCTTAAAAACTCGAAGCCTTTCCCCCACGTCTCATTGAAGATTTGGTTTTTGAATAAAGCAGGACCAACATTCAGCTGTTTGTATGTTTGTAGTGTGACTTGTGACTTAAACGGCTGCAGGTTTAAGCTTTTTAAACGGTGATTTCAGTTCAACATACAACGTCGTGGTGCAGCGGTAATATCTTGTCAGAACTATTAAATGATGTCATAAATGTGAGAAGTTGGAAAAAAAAAGCCCAGGTGTAAATTTCTCCAGGACAGTTGATATTATAAGTTTGTTGTCGTTGTAATTAAGGCAAAAAGCAAAACATTTGACTTAGAGATTAACAATTTCACCCCAACATTTGGTATCAAGCTTTTTCAAAAGGGGGGGGGAAATAAAAAAAAAAACATTCAGTGTGCAAAAATATGAAAAGGAGCAACAAACGGAACGAATACTTCACTCCTTTTTGGTGTGTGAGGATTCGTTCTGAAGATGAACTGTACAGGGTCCGGTGTAAAGCTGGGACAGTGTTTAAAAACTGGGGAGGCGGAGTTAGAGGGGCAGGTGGGGCTCTCTCGGGCTGCACTACCTGTGGACCGACAGGTGCAGCCCGTTCAGGGGGTTCAGTTGGTGGGGCAGAGGGGGGTGCAGCTCCAGCTGGGCCAGCAGGGAGAAGTGGTCCGAGGGGACGTGCGGGTGGGGGCAGCCGGTGATGTTGTTGTCTATGAGCCACTGGCTTTCGAGCGGCCCCATCACGCCGAGGACGCTCATGTGAGTCTTGGAGAAGAAGATGTAGTCGATGACGCCCTGCGGACACAGAAACACCGTCAGGCCGAGGAGCAGCTCCCAAATATTTAAACTGATCAAATCCGAGGTGAAATGAACCATCTGCTCTCCAACTGAGGCGTGCGAGCCCCCCCTGGTGGTTCACACAGGAAAGGCTGACCAACGAGCCTTTTGAACGGGTTCAGACCCACATTCTGAACAGAATCCTGAAGATTGTGCTTCACTATGGGTCAGGGTTAATAAAAAACTCCACAAACTCATGACTCAGTCACTTCAAGACTGCATGACTGTGCTTTAGTTGAGCCATGAGCTGATAAAACACAAACATTGGCTATAATTACATCAATTTTACAGATATTATGCTCATATTTGGTGTGGTAGTAGCTGAGAGTCATCTCCAACACATACTGGGAGCTCTACTCATTGTGAAAGATCTATTCTCAAGAACCACTGGACTTGAATGGATTTTAATGAAACTTGCAGAAATTAATCACTGGATTTACGTCTACTCATGAAGCCAATCCAATTCAAAATGGCCGCCATAGCTCTCTGATATTACAAACCCCCAAAATGCCTCAGTCCATTTTACAGACGTGAAGCTTAAATTTCATGATTCGTACCATCATCTCCTGACATTTTATGAGCTTGTAGAAGGTACTTTTTAAGGTTTGATCAAAACAGCTAGACATCCGTCATTTCTCAACATTTTAAGCATAAAAGGCGCTGGGCGTTAAATAGCATCGAGCACGTTTGGACGTTGGGCTTCTACCTTGAAGTCGTACGTGTAGTTGGTGTAAGGCATCAGATTGCTGTCGTAGGCGCTCTTCAGCTGGAAGCTGTGCGTGATGCTCCCATCTGCGTTGCCGTTCTTGCCGTTGCAGCTGAAGTTGGTCAGACATTCGTTGTAGCGCAGCTCCTTGAAGTCCTTGTGGTTATCAGCCACTCCTCCATCGCTCAGGTACTCCACCACACCTGGACCCGAGCACAGGAACACCTTACTGCACAGGTGCACAACATTAGCAGAAAACAAAGCTAGCTCCTGAGCATGAGACGGGCATACCTGAGTCAGGCAGTGAGTTGAGGTCAGCGCACAGGACGATGGGGATGGATGACGGGTCAGAGGTTGGCGAGCCCGTGGTCACAGAGCTGGACGCCCTCTCAGCGATGCTCTTCAGCTCCGACAGGAACATCATGGTTTGGATCAGCTTGACGTCTGAGTACTCGGGGTCCCAGTGCATGTGAGCGTTAGCCACAAGGATCAGCTGCCTCTCCTGAGGGGGTTTCATGCCTCAAAACAAAAAAAGAAACATTTTTTCACTTGTTTGATTAAACTAACAAACCATGTGCTAGTCCCTGACAGATTGATTGAAAAATTAAAGCCAGGCGTGTTTTGGGCCCTCGAGGACACAGAGAAGCAACCGGATGTTCTTTTATCGGAGGATTGATCTCGTCTGTTCTTACCACTGGAGAACAAGTCCTTATTGACCTCCAGCAGCACCGCCACGCCGATGTTGTCTTTGGTCATCACTCTGTTCAGCATGACCTCTGACCCCTCAGAGTTGGCCATGGCCACCTGATTGAACTCCACAGTGTGTTTCTGTACCAAAGTAAACCTGCAGACACATCAACAAAGCAGCATCAATCTCAGAAACTCATAACGCTTCCTCTTTGCCACTCGTGCCGTCTCCCACCGCCACGTTTTGTTTTAAACCAGGTTTTTTATAAGAATGCAACGAGTGAATCCTGCATCGACGTCAGGAGTCTTCAAACTCACTTCTCTGTTTTAAAGAAGATTGCACAGCCGTCTACGTGTTTCCTCTCCTGCTCAGAAACCAGTTTGGCACGAGATTTGGGACAGAAGTAGCCGTCGTAACCACGATCCTTTAGTGTTTCCAGAAACAAAGTGTAGTACTGCTCCGTCTCCACCTCCTGCAGAGTAAAACAATTTTAAAAAGAACCTCGTTGGACAAAGTAAACTAAACTTCAGCTGATGGTTATGTTGGGATAGAACCCCGCAGCTTCACCTGCAGGTTGATGATGTCAGCGTCGCAGCTGGTGATTTCCTCCATGATGCCCTTCTTGCGGTACTCCCAGTTCAGCGCCCAGGACGGGCAGTATCCGTACAGCTGCCGCGTGGCGTATTTATCACACAGCACGTTATAACACATGACTGTGAAGACAGCTGCGGGAGAAGACGACACGATAAAACGCACAGAAAACAGCTACAATAATCAAAACTCGGTTTTAGATGACTTTAGTTTGAGATCAACTAATATATGTCTTGACTGAAGTATAATTTAGGTAAATTTACACTGACTCTAAAGTGCAGTATTCACCTCATTGTAATCTTTGAATTAAAATATCATATAAACCAAAACTTGAGAGAAAACCCTTATGGTGCTGGGCGGCTCTTCTGCAAAGATGAGACAATCTGTCCCAAACACCCCTAGAAGCTGCACAGAGCTTTAAGAAGGGGCCATTTGGTCTTCTGGAAGGACTCAGGCCAGCAAAGAGACATACTGGTAGTCTCTCCAGCATGTCTGGGGTCTCCTCCCAGTTGAACATGTCCAGAAAACCTGCCTACCCCAAGTTTGAGGCCTCTCATGCCGAGACCACCTTCCCTACAGTGAAGCATGGTGGTGGCAGCATCATGCTGTGGGGATGTTTTTCATCAACAGGTACTGAGAAACTGGTCAGAGTTGCAAAGGTGGATTTAAATATAGAGAAACTCTTGATTGACTCTTGTCGGGAGTCTTCTAGAGGTTAGACGGACCCAGCTCATGGAGATGAACCTGAAGAGTTGCTGATGTCTCTTCAGAGTCGAGCTGTGGGTGCTGAATACGTTTTTCAGTTTTACATTTTTAAACAATTTAAAACAAATTTCCCCCACAATTTAAGTCCATTTATTTGCTTTAATTAAGAATCTAATTAAACTCCAGGTTATAAGGCAATAAAACAAAAAGAATACACGAGGGAGGAATGCTTCTGCAAGGCGTTGTGTTCGTTTCACGTTTCGTAGCTGCTGGAAGTTAAAGATGGACTCGCAGGAAGTTTGACGTGCCTCATGAACTAACCTGTGGGGATCATTTGGTCTCGCTCTTTCAGAGTGATCCACGGTCTTTGCGGGAGCTGCTCTGGGTGGACTGGGAACAGGCAAGACAAGGATTAGTGCTCGTATATTCGTGTCAGACACGATGATGTCATAACACACTCAATAAAACGCTTTTTAAATATGAACGAGCTCTGCGAGGCGACGCAGCCGAGACCTTTACCTGCTAGATTGTCAAGCATGTAGTTCAAAAGCTTTCTGGTTCCGTCTGGTTCCTGGTAGATATTGAGGATGTCCTGGGACAAAGGATTTCCTGCAAATAAAATCAGATCATAGTAAAAAAAAAATAACTACAAGAAACCCCCAAACATCTGGTGTGAAATTTTAAACATGTACTGAAATAAGTGGGCAGCAGTCATAAAGTCTGTAACAAAATTTCTAGTGGTTTCAAAATAAAAGCCTCACCTTTTAGCCCAAGAGTTTGCAACCGGAAAAGCCTCCCAAGTTCATAAGGCAGAACCCGTAAAAGATTGTTGTTTAAAAGCAATTCCCTGAAAAAAAAACCAAGACAAAGCGTCAGCGATCTGCACACAAACGATCATTTTATTTCATTTTAGGTTGGTTTGAACTTTGTTCTTCCTTTGATGCTTTGTGATTATTTATGCTCTAAATGCCTTGAAGGAATTTAAAATCAATATTTCAGCTTTAAAACAAAGTTACACCCTGTTAACTCAGAGCTTTGTGTGAATCAAGTAACAATCATTTCTTTGTATAAACTTTAAACAAGTGTCGGCAAACACGCAGCTAATTGGAAACAGAGTGAACACAGTTTAATGTTAAAACTGGACGTCTAATTATAACCAGCATTAACATCACGGCGGCCCTTTCTCTCCAGAAAATAACAGTTTACACTTCCACTGTGCACGCAGAATGACTATAACAACACAGATGGTTAATGAGGGTAGATGTAATATATTTCTGTATTAATTGGATTAAATGTCATATTTGGGCACTTTGATCATCAGTTTCCTGATAAACAAAGAGGAGGCTGGACCAAATTCAGAGTCTCATTTTTAAATGCAAAACAAATCATTAGATTTTACTTATTTTCTTGTTAAATTCACCTATTTTTTGATCTGAGTGACAGTGTTTTCAAGAATCTGCTGGTCTCATACGCAGGTCGCTGCTGAGATAAAGTTTTATTCGATTTATTTCACAGGAACGAAGCTTCCTGCGATCCTCTTCTACCTGAGAGTAACCATGTTGCCCAGTTCGGCGGGCAGGCTGCGGAGCTTATTGGACGACAGGTTCAGGTAGACCAGGTGGGGCAGCTTGGCGATGTCCGGCGGGATGCGGGTCAGGTTGTTGTCGTTGATGTGCAACGCCGTCAGGTGAGTCAGGGTCCATAACGAGCTGCTCAGGCTCCTCACACGCCCTGCCACAAAACAAACAAAAGAATATTTGAACGTTAATTCAGTTCATCATGAAAAACTTCAAAAGTATGAGTAAAACTACGACAAATGTAAAAAATTGTTGGTGTTTAATTTCATTAAATAAGCCCATCCTTCTTTCTGACACTCATCTGGATCTGGGTCATGGAGGCAGCAGGTCCAGGAGGGAAACCCAGACCTCCCTCTCCACAGAGACACTCTCCAGCTCCTCCTGGAGCTCCTCCCCATGCCAGAGAAGATATTTCATCCTTCCAGGGAGTTCTGCTTCATCAGGGTCTCCTCCCAGTGGGATTTTTCTGGGAAACTTTTAGGAGGAGGTGTCCTAATCAGATGAACCACCTCAGCAGACTCCCTTCAATGCAGAGGAGCAGCGCCTCTACTCTGAGATCCCCCCGGATGACTACAGCTGCGTTGCCATTGATAAGTACGACTCGAGTTGACTCTCGTCTCATCGGTTCTTCTCAGGTGGAGGTGAACTGTCACTGTGACTGGTTTCTTGATCGTCAATGCAAAGCGGGCGGTTTCACGTAGCGCCGTCCAGCTCGCGCTGAATCCACCAATCCGCCAATAACAACAGAGAAGTCTGGACCTTGTCATTTGTCCACGACGCTGTTTTTGGAGCTTCCGTTCTGAGCTAGAAACTAGAAAATCTAACTCACTCACTCTCCAACAATCAGAGATGAAATGTTGGTTCAGATCTAGTTTGCAGTTATTACTGACATACATGTCAACCCCTTGGGATGTTTACCTTCAGAGATCTGTAAAATTCACAAAAAGTCTGCAGTACTTTCACACATGGGTTGGTGGTGGTGGTGGTGGTGGGGGGGGCAGGGAGGATGTGGGGGCAACCTTAGCATTTCCTTACAGGCTGGCTCTGAGATGTAAAATAAATGTGAAGCTGAGTTTTTGAAAAACCTGTAAGATTTTCTCTGTAGTCATGAAAAATGGGGACAAATCCATATAATTGATGGAAAATCCATAAGACTCGACAGGTCTTGACTGGGCAGGTCATCCAGTGATGAAGCTCTGGTCTTGACTGGGCAGGTCATCCAGTGATGAAGCTCTGGTCTTGACTGGGCAGGTCATCCAGTGATG